CGTGCCGGTCAGAGGTTGAGCCTGGGGACGCCCACTCTACCCTGACCTTCTCTCTGTCCAGTCTGTCTTAATCAGAATTGGGATGCCTTTTCAGTCTCAGACAGACTCCGGAAGGAAGCCGACATGGGTAATCAGTCTTCCAAATTTAACTCTAAGACGCCTCTGGGCCATCTCCTCAGTAATCTCGACTAATTGGCTAATTCATTTCAGTACTGTGGCCTGGCCTCAGTATGTGCAGGATTATGGGCCTCAATGGCCACCAGAGGGAACCTTGAACTTTAACACCCTCACAGACTTAAATAATTTCTGTAAACGCAACGGAAAATAGTCAGAAATCCCCTACATCCAGGCTTTTTGGTATTTGCGCTCCCGCCCCTCCTCGTACCGCTATTGCAGTAGCACTCAAATCCTACCGGCGAAAGGAGGACCTCCCCCATCCCCTGTTCCCGACCTCTCCCTCCTCCCTTAAATGACAAGTCTTTCCCACCCAATTCGGAGCCTTCCTTACTCATAAATCTTCTGTAAAACTTAACTGCGCTGATCCCTCGTCCTCCAAATCCTCCTCCTCTTTCTTCCAACCCGCCCCCATACAACCCGCCCTCTCTCTACCCCCATCTTCCTCCTTCACCTTCCGACTCTCCCCTTCGCCTCTCTCTCTCCCCTCTCCAGTCAGTGCACATACCCGTTCGCATTGCATGAACCAACCTCCCCACCCCCTTGCTCCTGCGCCCACTTGTCCTCTCCGAGAGGTTGCTGGCCGAGATGGCTTTGTGGGAGTACATATCCCTTTTTCCTTGGCCAACTTATCTGCCATTTAAAAACCATTGAAGTCATTTTCTGCCAACCCTACTGCCTTTATCAAAAAGTTCCATTAGGGTGACAGTAGAGGTTGTAAATTATGATAAACTTAGGGAAATAACCCAAAGCCCAAATAAAAACCTGGCTGTTTTTCTAAACTGCCTCATCAAGGCTATGACTCTCCATACCTCCTTCAGTCCGGACAGTCCTGCTGGGGCAACTATTCTCACTACCCATTTCATTACCCAATCCACCCCCGATATCCGTAGAAAGCTGAAGAAGGCAGAGAATGGCCCTCAAACTCCTGTCTGTGACCTGGTAAACATGGCCTTTAAGGTTTTTAATGCCCATGAGGAAAATGCAGAAACCATTTTCCTCATGGGCATTAGCGCCTCCAGGAGGCTGCTAAACTGCAAGCCCACGCCCTGGTTGCAGCCCTTCAACCAATGTAACAGGGTTCAAGGGTCTCTTTGCATCTGGAGACGGGTAACAAAGCTCCCCTGGGAGCCTGTTTCAAGGGTGGCCAGGAGGGCCACTGGGCCAAGCAGTGCCCTAACCCGCATCTGCTGAGTAAGCCATGTCCTATCTGCAAGCAAATGGACCATTGGAAGTCAGATTGAACTTTGCCTGGCCAAACCCCGGTGCCTCCACACGGGGGTGTAGCCAAGCTGCCTACTCTGCTCCATTATCTGCTCGGACTGGCAGAAAGCTGAGAATGCCCGGACTCAAGGACCCCAATTACCCTCCCCAAGCCCAGGGTCTTGCTCCAGGTAGCGGGTAAGTCAATCTCGTTCCTCTTGAACACGAAATCTACTTATTCGGTTCTGCCTTCCTTCTCGGGGCCTCTATCTCCTTCCCAGGTCTCGGTCGTTGGTATCCACGGCCAGCCTTCTGTCCCCCTTCAAACCTTGCCTCTACCTTGTTTTCTCAATAATTGGATGTTTAGTCACTCCTTCCTTATTGTCCTGTCCTGCCCCTACCCAGTGCTTGGCAGGAATATCCTTTCAAAGCTAGGGGCCACTTTAACGCTGCTGGTTCAATCGGCAGCCCCATTCCTCACCAATATTGCTCTAGTCTCTGCCTCTCCCGATTCAGACCTGCCACCTCCCCTCCCGCCTCACCTAGTCAACTCCAATGTGTAAAACATTTCCACTCCAGTCATAGCCTAACACCACATCCCAGTCCGCATAGTTTTAAAAAAACCCTCTCACTTCCCTTCTAAACCCCAGTTCCCCATTTCAGTCACACACCGTAAGGGCCTTAAACCCATCATTACTCACTTGCTCTCTCAGGCCCTCCTCATACCCGATAACTCTCCATGTAACACCCCCATCCTTCCGGTTTGTAAGCCCTCTGGAAACTACCGCTTGGTCCAGGACCTCCGGCTCATGAATAAGGCAGTGGTCACTCTCCACCCAGTAGTTCCTAACCCCTACACTCTTCTATCTCGGATACCACCTCAGACAACACATTTCGCTGTCATTAACCTCAGGAAGCTTTCTTTACTATCCCCCTACACCCAGACTGCAGCTCTGGAAGCATCTGCAAGCTCCCTGGCATCCATGCAGCGACAAATAACCTCCCTAGCCCTGGTTACTTTACAGAACCACAGAGCCCTTGATCTTCTCACAGCCGGTCAGGTTGAAACCTGCATGTTTCTCCAGGAAGAATACTGTTTCTACATTAACGAAACCAAGGTGGTAGAAGAAAATGTCAATGTCCTCCAAAAGCTGGGAGACAAACTTTGCCAAAAAACACCGCTGAGTCGCCCTTCTCTGCCTGGTGAAACTCGGGCATCGCCCAATGGGTCATGCCATTCTTGGGACCTGTTCTACTTATCTGTCTTTTACTTATGGTTGCAATTTGTCTAATTTTTTGCAGTATCACATAAAAAAATTTCTTGCATTTCGCAGTCAATCAGCTACTCCTGCACCCCTATCCGTATGCCCCACTTCCCTCCGAGCCACCCCATCCCAGCCTCCGTTAAACTACGCCACCCTTCAGCCTAAAGCAGCCAGATCAAGTCAGCGCCCCTTATACCAAAGAGGTCAGGATGTTAGGTTCGGAGAGAAGCAGTACCCACCTACCCCCATCTGCCCCTCCGCCCCAAGACCACATCCACATATCTCGTTTGAAACCTCCCAGAACATGCCGCCAACTGCCAAGAAGGGCCAGACAGGAACTTTCCAGCCCAGGACGGATGCACCTGCCAACAGGCCTACCAGCAGCCCTAGCAACAGCCACACAGGGCCAGAGATGATTGGACACTTTGCCTCCCCACCCCGCTGCTACCCCTGACACCTCCCCAGATGCAGCACTTTTTCTTTTTTTTTTTTTTTGAATTGGAGTCTCACTCTGTCGCTCAGACTGGAGTGCAGTGGCCGCTCCCAGTCACCGCAGCTTTGCCTGCTGGGCTCCGGCGATCCTTCCGCCTCAGCCTTCCCAGTAGCCGGAATTACAGGAATGCGCTACCACACCCGGCTGATTTTTTTTTAATTTATTGTAGAGATGAGGTCTCGCTGCCCAGGCAGGTCTCGAACCCGCGGGCTCAGGCAATCCACTCACCTCAGCCTCCCAAAGGTGCGGGATTACAGGCTGAGCCACCGAGCCCAGCTCAGATGCAGCACTTTTAAAAACCCAAGCCGCCCTTCCTTGGGTGCCACTCCCCTGGCCCATCTTTCCTGACCACGGGACCTCACCTGGGAGCTCCCCTCAATAAACGCTTGGTTTGTACCAGCCCCTTGTCCTGTGCCTCTTTCAGTATCTCCAAACATTACACTAAGTAGGTTACATTTTGAATCAAATATGAAAAATACATTTTGAGTGGTAAAGGATTAATATACATATGGAAGAGTGCCTCACGTTTTGAATACCATCTTCATCTCCACATCTCCACTGTTTGCTGTTGTTTTGTTTTGTTTTTGTTTTTGTTTTTGGACAAACTCTTCCCCTCTCCAGGCACACTGATGCCTGGGGTCATAAACATGTATATTGAAAAAACAATTCAGCATATCAGTTTCCAAAGTCCTTAGATAATACCAAGTAGTCTCATTTAGCACTTCTAACATGCCCAACTCTGTGACAGTTTTATCTGCTCCTCGTCCAACTTTGGAATTCTGATCTAAATTTGAAAAGTCTCTTAAGGTTGTGGCTTTATTCTGGGTTTTCTAACAGGCTGTCTATCTAAAAAGTAGTCTTCTGTCCTTACTTCTTGTTCTGAAACAGATGTCTATAAACTAGATATATCTTGAGACTCTTGTACTTTCTCATAATTACGTATTTTTTTCCTCTCGGTGGGGAATAGAACCAAAAAGACAGTTATTTGCCAACAATATGAGAATGTAAAATTGAAAAACAAAAACTGAATTGTGTAATGGAATACATTGACTTCCTTTACAGTGCACAAGGCCAAGAGAGATTTTGGCTCCAATGCTGGTTTGGACTCTGAAACACAGAATTTTATTTTTAATTATATTGCTTTATAGGATAGTCACATACTTATTTTTCTCAAAATACTGGCCTCTGCCACACAGTCTTGTGTGATCTAAATCTCCTGAATATTATATGTATAAAGAGGAGATAGTGCAAATAATTTTAATTATAAATAATATGTGAATATCACTGGTAATAATTAGAGAAAAGGAGATCAAAGTTTAAGCAAAGCAAAGTTACAAAATTGTCAGTGATTTGAGCATCTTGAAAAAAATAACTAAGGCAAACAAACCAGAGATTGGTACTGGTATTCCCTGTCTGCCATAGAGTAGGAAGTTTATACAGGGATAGAAGACAGGTGGCTTAAATCCGAATATCTGCTTGGTACACTTTGCTGAGACATTAAATATCCTGGTGAAACTAAGACCTCAGGAAAAAAGAAATTCAGCTGAATCCAAAAATAAAATCGTAATTCATACAGGAGTATTGTTTTAAATGTTTCTGAGATATATACATAATTAATCTGTTTTAAATGTTTTGTATTGTTTTAAATGGTTCTGAGATATATACATAATTAATTTGTTTTTTAATTGCGGTATTTAAAAGCTCTTTGATTAAAAAAAAAACTCAGGAAAAAAATTACTTTTCTTCCCACTCTCATAATTCAGTTGAAATTGCCTCATTAACCAAAATGCTTGTGGATGACACTACCCCAAATCTCTTTCCTAAGTAAGCATAATTTTTATCCTGACAGCTTCCTTTCTTCAATCTCATCTTCCTCTAAGATCCCTCTCATTAAGGCCCTGTGAGCCCTTGGATTGGAGTAGCTGGATCATAGCCTGGCGAATCATCTTGGTCTTCAAGCTGTAAATGATAGGATTCAATACAGGTGGTAAGAGCAGATAAACATTGGCCAAAGTGCTACAGAGCACCCTTGGGGTGGAGCGGAAGAGGCGGTGTGCTAAAGATAGGCTGATCATTGGCACATAGAAAACAGTGACAGCACAGATGTGACAGACACAAGTGCTAAGAGCTTTTTGTTGCTTCTTTGGGGCCACAATGTTCAGAACAGTACGGAGGATCAAGACATAGGAAAAAAGAATAAACAGTAAGTCAGTGCCATTTAGGTACAGCTGAATAAACATTCCCCAAAAACTGCTTATCCTGGAGTTGGAATGTGCGTATTTAATCACATCTGGGTGGTAACAAAATGGATGGGAAAGCTCTTGGCCCCCATGAAAAGACATAGTCTTTAGGGCTACAACAATGGGAAACATGAAAATTCCTTGTCGTATACAGATGACCAGTCCAATCACCAGAATCATCATATCTGTAAAGATATTGGCATACTTCAGTGGGTTACAGATAGCCATTAAACGGTCAAAGGCCATGGCTACCAGCACTGAGGACTCCAGCAAGGTGAAGGCATGCAAAAAGAACATTTGAATGAGGCACTCTTTAAAGCTGATCTCCTGGGCATGAAACCAGAGAACACCAAGCACAGTGGGAAGGGTTGTGATAGTCAGACACAAATCAACAGTTGAGAGCATGGAGAGGAAATAATACATGGGCTTGTGGAGACTCCGCTCAATAATGATGACTAATAAAATCATGCTGTTTCCCAAGAGGGCAATAACATAGAGACAGCAGACAGGAATGGAGATCCAGACATGAGCACACTCTAGCCCAGGAAATGCAGTGAGGAGGAAGACTGAGGAGGATGATGTGGTGTTATTAAAAATTATCATGGTGGGTTGAGGGCACACCCTGAAAAGAAAGAAAATAATGAGAGTAACTGTCATACTGATCTTTTTATATGTTCTCTTTCATAGACCCTTCCCCAATTACACAATTGTCTCTCTTTATTCAAATCCCCCAATCTGTCCAAACTTTACCTGTACAGTGACCATTTATATACCTGAATTGTACCCTACATCTTTAAAATAAAAATTTTAAATTTAACAAATAATCTAATTACTGTGCCTATCACATAATTCTACAGTGAGTTGGATTTTTCCTGTTAGAATCTGGCCCCATTCTTCTGCCTCTACCCTCTTCTGACCATAAACTTCAATCTCTCTAGGCTTATTCCTACTCTACTATCCAGACTAGCCCTTGCTTGAAGTAGAAAATGCTTTATATATGTAGGTCACACATATGCACACATACTAGCAAAACAATAATAGTCACAATTACTATCTTATGGATCTTTGTATAAATAAGTCTTCAAGCTATATAAGTTGCTCCAGAAATAATTTTTTAAAGCACATAAACATCACTCTGGCCACTTGTGATGACATACTCCATGGTGTTCTTACTGGAAGCTGGTTTGGAATATTGTATCCAGAGTTATCCTTGTACCTGAGAAATGGTCACACTATTTTCCTGTTCTCCTTAATAGTAGTCTACTATTTTTGCATGAGGACTTCTCTATTCTATTTTGTATATTGGAATAATTCTTAACAAATTCTTCCCTTCCCAACTCCACATACTCTGAGGACTTTGATTCATCTTATCTACTATTTCTATTTACCTGTATAGTTTTCCCAGTCTACCAAAATAATTGGATCTTATTTTTTTCTCCATATTATATTTTCCACTCCTTTCCATGGATATCTAACATGTGATTTTGAGAATACTCATTGTAAATAGACTGCCCTATTGAATGGTGTCAAGATTTCTAAACATTATTCTAGAGTATATAACCCCAGGTATCCTGAGTTATGCCTAGTAAACAAGTCTAGACAAAACACTCTCTCATATCAGCTTCTACATAAGTTCTGATATTTTGTTAAAGTCATGATGAGAATTCAGTGAGTCACTGTGAAGACTATGTTTCACTTTGTTGGCTAGACTATGGTGAGGCCATGGACATTTGCATCATGTTATATTATTGGGAGACTCTAAGACCAAATTCTGCATTCCTCTCTCCTTGTTTTCCTTGTTTTGTGAGTGTGAACCAATTGTGCCAATATAGATAATTAAGTTAGTTAATTAAGTTAGTGAAATTATCTCTTTCAGACCCTGGTTATGGCCATATTGAAAAGCAATTTAAATTACTTATAGACATACGACATCAGGCATGGGAGGCACTCAGCAGCTTTGGCAATGGGAAAATCACAAATGAGATAGAATTAGGGACCAACAACAGAAAGAAAGCAACTCAGTAACAAATAAGCTGAGGTGATATCACAAGTTGTAATATCAAATAGTCCAATGGGTGAGAAAGTCCATTGAATGACAGACAGAAGGAAAAAAAACAGAAATGGTGCCATAAGAAAGGCAGAAGATGAGACCTATTTTATGATTATTGCAACTCTATTTCAGAATTGTTTAATGACTGCTGGTAAAAAAAAAATTCAAGCCGGGCTCGGTGGCTCAGCCTGTAATCCCGCGCCTTTGGGAGGCTGAGGTGAGTGGATTGCCTGAGTCCGCGGGTTCGAGACCCACCTGGGCAGTGAGACCTCATCTCTACAATAAATCAAAAAATCAGCCGGGCGTGGTAGCGCATGCCTGTAATTCTGGCTACTCGGAACGCTGAGCGGAAGGATCGCCGGAGCCCAGCAGGTCGAGGCTGCGGTGGCCGGGAGCGGCCACTGCACTCCAGTCTGGGCGACAGAGTGAGACTCCAACTCAAAAAAAAAAAAAAAAAAAAAAAAAAATTCATCATTACTAATTACAAATTTTTAAACGTTTACTTAAGCCAAGTAGTCCACAAAGAGTAAACAAGGAGTGATGTCCCTAGCCTAGTTGGTGTGTGGACATTGCCAGTCCTAAGTGTCCTCATCTTTCAGTGGTCTAGGCTTTCTGCATTGGTGACAGAGTAGATATAAGGAATTTGCTACTGACAGAGCTTGACTATTGTTAATTACATAAGGATAACTATAAGGATATACTGATTATTTTTCTCCTCCTCCAATTTACTGAAGACAGTGAGAGAAATTACCACATGCTACCTCAGTGGGAGAAAAAATCCTAGTTGTTTTGTCTGTTATAATCTTTGGTATTATTATATAATACATGTTCACAATTTGGTTGGGAAGGGCACTAAGATTCAGGAAAACTTGTGCCAAATGAGATGTAGATTACAAATATGCTGAATTAAATCAAATACTCACACACTGAATGGCAATCTGAATGTCAGTTACTGTACTGAGGCCAGGGAGACAGAAAAAAGTTAAAATATATATATATTTCTGCATTCAGAATTTCCCCAACTTAGACAAAATATTCATAGAGGGCGACTACTTCAAGGGAAAGATCTCCCACAAGAGAGAGCAAATACTCAGGTGAGAAAACAATAGACTGTTGAGAATTTGCTTCATTCTTCTTTTCCTTAGCCTGGCAACATAGACATTAAGAGTGATTATCTTTCTCTGTGATAATCATTAGGAATCTCACTGCAACACTAAATCTATTGACTCTCCTTCAACGGTACTTTATGTAAGCTTTCTATGACACTTACTTTTACTGACTTGACCATATTTCTTTCTCCCACTAGAATACTGGCCTTTGGAAGCACAAAACATATACTGTTCATCGTTATATTTTAAACACAGACAAGCATAATTCTTGATACATGATAAAACTCAATCTAATTAACACTAGGTGTATTGATAGATGAATAAACAATAGATGATAAAAAGGCAGATCAAGAATAGAGGAGAGAAAATAGAATGAGCCTAAAAGTTTTGAGAAAAGAATGAACCATGGGTAAATTACTTCCTTAGCCATCATAAAGAGAGTGAAAATTCTTTCATTAATTGGAAAAAGAGGGTAGACTAAGAAAAGGAAAAGAGTTAAGTTCTTTGTACATGTCCTATATTTCACTATCCACTTTATATATAATTTTAGAAAAATTTTGAGGTAGATAAATTTCTCCTGTTTAAAAGAAAAAAAAGTAGACCCAGGAAGGTTAAATAATATATCCAAGATTAAATAGTTAGATACAGATTTAATTCCAAAGTACATTTTTTTAACTAAACTTCAGACCATTCAAGAGACCAGGCTAATGAGATAATTTGGGTAGTTGGATATTGTAATTTCCTTCTATTAAAATGCAACATTTTAAAATATACTATTATATATCTCTATGATGCAGACATTAAATAGAAATGAGAAATGAGTAAAATAGAGAACTGTGTCCTCATTACTCATCTAAAGAAGGATATTTGTGGAACCCAAGTGTGTTTTAAAATGCATGTGAATTTCTATATATGTTTGTATTGTGTGCCTCCATGTGCTGATGCGGGGAGTTTGGGGGTGAAAGAGTAACTGAGAGGTAAGATGCCCATACAGCACATACTAGTTATCTTCATTCTTTAAGAGAAAAAAAACATGGGATAATATGAGGGTTGTAGAAAAAGTAGAGACAGTTGCTCATTTTGCTGCTGGGGAGCTTTTCCCTGTAGAATGGAGACAGGAGGAGCAACGGGCTTTATTTCTATGAGCTCATACAGTTCTTTATCCCATCCTACCTGTAGCTTCCATCAATTCACTGCATTGTCTTTCTCTGCTTTTTATGCCACTATTCCTCATTGTTAACTTCCTCCCTTTCTGTGTCTTCTCAGATATGCACTCTCTCCTTACCTGGCCACATCAGCAGGAAACTGCATCAACTTCTCTTCAATCCCATAGAAGTGCAGGGACTAAACCAGCTCTCAAGGTCAGGGGCTTTATAAGCAGCCCAGTAGAGTCTCCAGAAAACAGGGAGCTTTCTTGGTTAGTAAGCAAAATGGTTGGAGTAAGAGTGATGGGATCCACATGCATATGTTCCTCTACAGTACCTCAGTCACATCTCTCAAACATAGCTTAAAACCTTGCTCCCAGGCCCAAGCAAACCCAATCCATCAGGAGCTTGGAGCAGAGCTTTGGCCCTGGGGGCTGACAGTAATGGGTATCAGCAAAAACTGCCTGCCTGTTTCAGATAACTACAACCATTCCTTTTCACCCAGCCTTAGGCTACAGACTCTCAGTCAAGGAGGCTCCCTGAATGTCAGAGCTTGATTAGGAAAGGGCAGACAGAGTCATCCCTCTGTTCTCTGCTTCCAATATGTACTCTTATTAGGTCTCATTATTCCCCAGGACAATCCCATCTTCCTCCTCTTACACAAGAACCTCTCCTAAGAAACCTTCCTATTTGAGTCACATCTACACTCGCCATCCTTCTAAGTATAAACAGCCTAACATTTGATGAATATATAATATCTGACGGAAACTTCACTATACCCCTTAAATACATTGTCTTATTAATTCATAAATGACCTTATGAGTTAAATGTTATTATCCATTATTTCACACCTGAGGAAATTAAAACTCAGAGAAGTTCTCAATAACTTTACCCATCTAAAAGTTAGATCATTGAAGAGTGGTATTCAAATTCATGTCTATCTAATTTCAAAGCTCTTGACCTTAACCAACATACTATATTATCTTCTATTGTCAACCGTTCCCACTCATAGCTTCAGAAACCAAATACACAGTCTTCAATCTATCTTCATGCCCACATCTGGCTTAAGCTTTATTTTGACCAGAATTCAACTCATCACAGTAGACAGTAAATTAATTATCCTGGTTATATCTAATTCTCACAGGCTTTTTATATTTCTTGAAACGGTTTTCTCATCCATATTTTCACTGTATATGTATGAGGCAAACTGAGCAAAGGTACTTATCCCGATGATTAGGAAGTTTAAGGGATTCCATAGCGTTACAATCAAGTAATGCTCAGATTCATATGCAAACACTATAT